ATATGGAATGGTTCATCGCGTGATGCCTTCACAGTTTAATACCGAACCAACTACACGATTACTGTCGCAAGTACTAAAACACAACATACATGACTAAAAACACTACGAACATGCCAATATAAAAATGGCATGCGAGTATGAACGTGCCTCAGCCACAAGATCACATCTCAAATCTTTGCTAAGCTGCTCACGTCCCTCACGGCACGCTTGAAGGCGGACAGTAAGCGGTACTTAGTTACACCGACCTGCGGCTCACTCTGCGAGGACGACGCTCGGCATCGAAAGGCTGCCTGCGAGCACTCCAGCCGGTATTTTGGCAGGTTCAACCGTCCTGCTTCGATGGAGCGATTGCCGCGGTGGGATGCCGAGGACCTGGTGGTTAACGTACTGCACAATCCGGGGGCCCGTTCGGGCAGCTTAGAACATTATGGACTTTGGTAACGTTCCGCACTTTGACTAGCCACTCTATTCGGTCCCATCCCAGAGCCCGGAGTGCCGGACGAATCCCGTCCCGACGCCGCGTCCCTGGCAGCGAGGTAATATGTATAACGAAATTTATAACGCCCCGGCAGCGAAATTTGTAACACCGGATCCTCTACAGTCTATTTTTGGGCGACGCTTCCCGATACTGAAAGGGAATGTAGGGGAAAGTAAGATGTAAGAATGTAAGGGCATGTGTGGGTCTCAATCCGAAGTTGTAACATGCGCTGGGTGAAGTGACGTCGCAGGCGGAAGGAAGATATCGGAAGTGATCTGCATTTTTGACCGCTTGACTGCTGCGCGAATCCCAGGACAGAACGGGGTCGTTGACGACACTAAGCAGCCGGACCGAGCGAAAGGGTAACATGCGGGCATTTTTATTTTTATTTTAGAAATTTGATCCGAACCCATTGAATGGATGGATTTCTGGGATCAGCGCTCACGCGAAGCAGTGCTTGTTGTGTGAGCCGTGACCCCTACCATCCGATCGCGCAATTCCAGGCAACGGCAGAATTTAGTGGCGAAAGCTTAACGTGCCGCAATGCTCGGCACGGTCCGTCCTGCCCTCTGACGTCAACTGACCTTTAGCGCGACCGCTGCCACCGGCCGCAGGCCATACCTGTCAAGGGCGAATAGCGAGCGCCTAAAGCGACTCGAGCCCACCCCGCCACGGGTGGCGATAGCCAAGTGAAAGTTTTTCGCCTTTTTTTAGAATTACGTCAGTTTTGGGGATTCATGTTGAGAAAGTGAATGCGGAACCAGCTCTTCATGTTCGCCAAAGTGTGTTCAATTCGAGTTGGGAGAGCGGTGAGAATTTGATCATCTGTCTTCGCTCGGTCTAGCAATTGGGCGTCGTCAGCACACATGACACAGTTGGGCAGGTGGCATGGCAAATCGATTGTCAAAAGACTGAACAGGACCAGTCGGCTGCCGATCTGTGATTATCACCTACTACCACCTGTGACTACCACCTACTACCACCCTACTACCACCTGTGATCACCTGGCTCCGTCCGATGAGTTACAAACTACTTTCTCTTGAACCGCGAGGGATCGACGTCATGGACAACCGGGTCGCCGAACATATCTTTTTCGAACAGAGCGGAGATGGTTCATGGCTGTTGTCCAAATATTCATGAACTGGGTAACGGGGGCCGGCGGCATGGTGAAGTGCCGTCCCCGCTCACCCCGCGGCCAGCCGCCAGTGGCGCCGCCGCGTGGTCGAGGCCGGGGCCGGGACACTGCAGCGCGCTTGGCTCGTCAGAGGCGGGGGCCGGCAGGGTCTCGCACTGTCCCCCCTCCCCTCGCCGCCACCATTTCATGGCGTTGTCGATGCTCGCCACACGTGGCCCTTATCGCACGGGGTGCATCGCAGCCGAAAGGGGCCTTGCGGTGTTGGGTTCCGGTCCCAGGTTACAGCTGCGCGTCGAAGCGGCACGGCGGCGCTCGACACCGCTGTGACCCGACTTGGACCGGACAAGCGGACGGAGACGGCTTCGCCTCTGTGACAGATGTCTGGCACGGGTGCAGCGGAATGCCGGGGACAGGACGCGCGTCGTTGGCTGTGTTCGGCGACGGGCGCCGCCGGGCGGGTGTGAGCCTGCGCTGCTTCGAGGAGACGTCCCCTCACGCGGCGCGGCGTGCCACGGCGGGCTGCCGCTCCCCCCGGCCGGACCGCGTCGCGTTTCCATGGTGACCGCGGCTGCGCGACCGTGGCCCGACCACTTTTTGTAGACCGAGTCGATCTTCCAAACATATGAATGGCAGACATAAATTTCTGACACCAGCTGGGGCGATCTTCCTCCGGTAAAAAAAGAAATAGCCTGTGCGTCGCTAGCGAATCACTTCAGGGGTAGGCTGTTCTCCGAAATCGGTGCAGAGCGCGGCTCGGCTGGGACGCCATGGCGACCAGGCTGCGTCCAGCCCGCGCGAGTCGCGAGCACGCCTCAGCATCGGTCGTGAGCCAGCCCTCGACGCACCGGTGTTATGCCGGTCGGCCCACGCTGCCGGCCGGCAACGTGGGCCGGGCTCTGCGCGGCGGCGCACGGCCTTGGAATAGCGCTGGCTGCGTAGGCGGGGGAGCTGCACGTGACGCCGTTCCCAGAATGCCGTGTGGGGTTGTGAGGAGACGGGCCGCTGCCAGTGGTGTGGTTTGATGGGTGCAGGACAGGAGGACTGCAGTCGTGGGCTGCAGTCGTAGGCTGCAGTCGTGGGCTGCAGTCGAGGGCTGCGGTCGTGGGCTGCAGTCGTTGGCTGCAGTCGTGGGCTGCAGTCGAGGGCTGCAGTCGTGGGCTGCAGTCGTAGGCCGCGGTCGAGGGCTGCAGGCGTGGACTGCAGTCGAGGGCTGCGGTCAAGGGCTGCAGTCGAGGGCTGCAGGCGTGGGCTGCAGTCGTGGGCCGCGGTCGAGGGCTGCAGTCGAGGGCTGCGGTCGAGGGCTGCAGTCGTTGGCTGCAGTCGTGAGCTGCGGTCGAGGGCTGCAGTCGTGGGCTGCAGTCGAGGGCTATAGTCGTTGGCTGCAGTCGTGGGCTGCAGTCGTGGGGATAGCTGTCTATGTGAGGTTGCGAGCACGGGACTGCAGCCACTGACGTAGTACGGCTCGGAGCGGAGCAGCCCGCTACTGACCTTACACCGTCCACCGGCCGCGTCACCGCGTGTTACGTCAGTCAGCGAGCCCGGTGACATCAAAGACAGATGCCTTCTCCGAGAAACGCCTCGAGCAGCTGCCCAAACGGCTGTTGAACGGCCCTTGGCTTCGGAATGTCGTTCAGTGCCGGGGATTCGAGTGAATATGAGGCGTCGCTGATTCGGACTCGACTGTTCGGGGCGGTGGGGTGGACGGCGATTGCAAGTTGCGCACGTCGAATCGGAAGTAGGGCAAGTTATCGGATCGTCGGTCATCGAAATGAATCAGAATCATCTGATTGCTCTGTTGTGGGCGTGTCGCTGCCAGTCGTCTGTGTCAGCGCCGCACACCCCAGCCCAGTCGGCTCCTGCTGGCGACCTCTCTTCACTGGCTGGTCGTCCCGGTCGCTGCCCGGCGCCGCACACCCCAGCCCAGTCGGCTCCTGCCAGCGGTCCCTGTTCGCTGGCCGGTCGCCCCGGTTGCTGCTCGGCGCCGCACACCCCAGCCCAGTCGTCCCCTGCGAGCGGCCCCTCCACTGGCCAGTCGTCCCGGTCGCTGCCCGGCGCCGCCTGCCGCCTGTGGCGGCCGGGCCGCCGCCTCCAAGCCGACGGCGGGCGAGCGGCGGCCGGCGCCGCGCAGCTGCAGCGGCAGACGCGAGGTCACATGCCGGCCGGCCGCCGTGTGACGTCAGCGACGCGCCCCCGCGGCGCCGGCCCGCCATTGGCGGACGCGGAGGCCGGGCCGGGGCGGCGGCTGAGGACGGCGAGACCGGCCGGCTTGCGACGGGGCGGCGTCGGCCGCGACTGCTGTGTCGACGTCTGGCGTGTGGGGCAGGGCCGTCCGCGTGGCAACGGGCCGGCAGGCGCCGCGGATGGGACGCTCCACTGAGCAGGCGCCGCTCGGGGCGGCACATGGGGTTGGGACGCGTGGGTGGGCGTGAATTCGCCCGCTTAAAGCCGCCTGCTTTGGCTGGGAATATATGAGCCGTTATAATCTTATGTATTTAGAGGTGACCGGGACCATGATTTTGTGGTGGCCGGGAGAGATAGCATGGTTGATGGGATGAAGCTGCTGTGCAGTTGTAGCCGTTTAAAATGGTTAAGGCTACTTTGTGGGGTGACTGGAAGCACCTAGATGTTATGATATCGTGTCCGTTTCATATTTTGAATGGATTTTGACCGTGTCATCGCTGCTATCACGGATGTCTGTCCAAGGAGAGGGAAAGCTGAGAATTCTGCCCTAATAATGTTTCAAGGTGTCCCAAATGCATGTAAATTTTCGTCAAATGGGGATAACTTTGTTGGGCGACATTTGCTATTTTGTGCCCGTCACTTTGTCGTGAGGGTTAAAATGCCCTTAAATTGCATACATCGAGTGGTCCATACATACAACAGGCACGTTTGCATCAATTGAGGATTACCTGCGCTTATTGTCAACGTGTCTTCTCATATAAGACGTTTTTATGCCATTGAAATAATGCATTGCCTTCGTTCAGAGTTGCCATCCTACTCGGGGCCATGCTATTCCTTTCACCATCCATTTCCCCGCCCAATCTCAATTGAAACTTGACTGGGCTATTCAGATTACACCCATGTGCGGGGTTTCGTCCCTGGCACACCTCAGTTGACTCCTGTGTCGAGCTCGGCGACCCGGTGCTGACCTGTGCGCCCCGCCGCTGAACCAACTGACCTGTGTTACCCTGCTGCTGACCCCTCCATGGACTCTTTGGTCCGCTGACCCATCTGGGTCATCCGTCTCCTCTGACCCGGCGACCTCGCCGGAGGCCAGCCTCTCTCACTAGCCGGCTCCCTTACTTGTCTCCGTGACCCGGTGACCCCGCTTCTGCCGCCGCTGTCACCTCGTGACCCCGCCACTCACCCCGTCGTGACCTGTTGCAGGTATCCGGTACTCGATGGACGTGTGCACAGACGAGGTCAAGGCGCTCTCGGCCCTGATGACCTTCAAGTGCGCCTGCGTGGATGTGCCGTTCGGTAAGACGCCCGCCCTGGTGCCGTCGGCGCCTGGTGATAGTGGTGCTGGTGCTGCAGCCCGGAGGGACGCCAGGCTCACGCGCACCTCGGGGTGGCATCAGCTGCGATTCGTTTTTAATTTGTATCGGGCCCGTATGATTTGTGTACCGGTTTGTAAATTTGCTACGACGGTGGCTGTCCGGTTTGCCAGAGAGCGGTAGTAGGCGGCCGAGGAGTCCGAGTAGAAAGCTGTCCAAAAAGTCGCAAAACAAGGTACATTGAGGAATATGGCATACTTGCGGCACTTTCTTTTCGTTCTGGTTCATGGTGGTATTTGGATGCACTTGTGCAATTATCCTGTACAGCTACCTATTGGGCCATTAATTTTTCAATCGGTACTGTGGACTTTGAAGGAAAAACGGGTCTGGTCACGGAAGGCGAGCTTTAGTGTTAGGGTTGAACGTTGGCCGCTGGCTGAGCCGTCTCAGCAGAGTTCGCGGTGACTTTAGGCCTGTCTAATGTCCGTACTTCTGGGGCTCAGTGTGTGCAAAAAAATACATTAATGTCAAATGTCCGACGGTCAAAATAACAGCACCATTTGTTATTGGCACTGCCTTGAACTGTGATATGTGATACAAATACCGTGAGCTAGTTCATCGAGCTTTTTAAACATTCGTTAACGCACGCTCGGGCGGCCGCTTGAACACGCTTCGCTCGGATGTGGGTCAATATTCCCCCCTCCTGAGATCTCGAAAACGAAGATAGCTAGAGACACCAAACTCGCAGGGTGGATCGGCCTGAACATAAACTCACTTTTGATACAATTTGAGGCTTCTAGGTCATCACCTAGGGGTTAAATAGGCCCAGACAGGTCAAATTCCAGATTAATGTCTAAAGGGCCCCCAGACCTTCTCATGCAACCGCCGTGGAGCTGGATACCTGCTATAAGCAAAAGGTCAATGAGGTCAGTGACCTTGTTTGACTTTGATAATGTCAAGTGATCAAAAAGCTACGAGATTGCTACTTTTTTCCCATTTGAATGGGTGTCAGGGATCACGCCATGCGGTATGTTCCTCAGAACAGAGTGCTGACCGGAGTCAGTTTAGGTCAGTGACCTACGCTGACTTCATGAAGTCTATAGAACGCATCTGTTGCGATCCCTGTTATTAATGAATTCGAAATGAGCACCAGAAACTCCCTTATAGAACCAAGCTCCCGACTAAAAAAGCAGGTTACTTTTGACCTCGGCCTGACCTTCATGCCCGACTCTTGTTCAGTTGAAATGGCTGTGATTCTAAATTAAATTGGTTTATTGTCTAGAAACTCTCAGATAATTATCGTTTGGGCTAACACTCCGTTGTTGAATCACACAGAACGATTCCCGAGAAATGCCTTTCGCTCACAGCCATGACATGACTTTGGGCTATCATAGGTTAGCGACATGACAAAATGCATGTATGTTTTCATTTCAAAAGATTTGCTATTCAGTTCTCCAAAGCCATGCAAAGTTTGGCGCGGCTGCGCCGCGCCGTTCGGAAGTCATTCTGGAAAAACTTCCGTGAGGTAATTTAACCCTCACCCCCATTCGAGCCCATGTCAATGGCTCAAAAGGTCAATTGCCACTCGTATAATTCAAGGATATGAACTGGTTTGTCAACAGACAAGGTTGTGAAACCAACGTCGCTGTTTTGTGATCCGGCCGGCACCGCGCATCGCTAAGATCGAGCATTCCCCGTCTGCAGGCGGAGCGAAGGCCGGTATCCGCATCGACCCGTTCAAGTACTCCGAGCACGAGCTGGAGAAGATCACGCGTCGCTTCACCCTGGAGCTGGCCAAGAAGGGCTTCATCGGTGAGTATATCGCGCCGCCTCAGCCTGGAGTTGGCCAAGCGGGGCGTTATGGGTGAGCGTAGGCGCAGCGCGCCGCGTCACGTCGCGTCGGGCCGGACCAAGCCGAGTCCCACACGGCCAATCAGCCCCGTGTGGGGCTGGGGAGAGCGGGAGGCGCCGGCGGCTCGCGGTCGGGGTGTAGGGAGCAAGGCAGTGGAGGAACGCCCGGTATAGGTGTATACAGGTGGCTCCAGGTGGAATATACAGGTAGATACAGGCGGGGACACAGGTGGCTCGTCTGCTAAAACACATTGCCACACCAGCGACGTTCGCCCGGTGGTGCTGGACGAGTGCGAGAGATACAGTTGACTCATCTGTTCACACATTGTCATACCAGCCACATTCGCCCGGCGGTGCTGGACGAGTGCGAGAGATACAGGTGACTCGGTGCTGGACGAGTGCGAGAGATACAGTTGACTCATCTGTTCACACATTGCCACACCAGCCACATTCGCCCGGCGGTGCTGGATGAGTGCGATAGATACAGATGGCTCATCTGGCCACACATTGCCACACCAGCCGCATTCGCCCGGCGATGCTGGACGAGTGCGAGGGATACAGGTGACTCTTCTGCTTACACACATGACCCCCCTCGCCCGGCGGTGCTCTGAGACTGTGGCACGCGCCATGGACACGCGCTCTTTGCCGACGACGGCCGGTGCAGACCTGCCTGTGGGGCGACCTCTACAGTGTGCTGAGACGCTGAGCAGGTGGCGGACTGCTTTAGCTCTGGGGTCTGTTGGGAATGTGTTTTAAAGGGGGGGAGGGGGGAGTAGTGACGCCGCTGAGTGTGGCGCAGATGGCGCTTTGTTCGGACGTCATTTCAACAAAATCTGTAGGGGTCTATACACAGCCTCCATGGGGCTGGATACTGGTCTCAACAGAGATATATGGATCTTTGATGTGACTGGTGTGATCAGCTAGATGCTGTGAATGCGTTGTGCATCTAG